CCAATCCTTATGGAAGCCAGCACAGGTAAATCAAACACTGAAACACACGTGTAAGAAAACCTTAATTCTCCCCAAAATTTCTAAAACTCTCTAAAATAATCTGCTTTAAAAATATCAGTGTGTATGTAAAGGTATACATTGGGTATTAAATTACTTATTTTAATGTCAGTCAGTTCATAACTTTTGCCTCCTTTTGAACAAATTGCCTTCTTTTGGTAGCATTAGTGATACCTATGAGATTCAAGCAGTTATGATGCTCCTTCTGTATTGTCAATGCCTCTTTCTTCCTTTCTTATGTATTTTGAGAACTTACAATATTTTCCATATCCATGAATACATAGTACATGAATATTTAAGCAGGTTAATTTGCTTTCTTCATTGGTGAGACTCAATACCATGAGCAAATGTGGCAAGGAAGTGTGAACAACTGAGCATGTTTAGTCAAATAGATGGCAGAGAAAGGGGGAGTGGTAATGCTGTACAGAAGGGGAGTTGCTCTAAAATACAGAAAAAGGCTCTTACAAATTCTTGTATATTTTAGGATTTTTTAGGCAATACAAATCAGTGGCAAATAGACCATATTTTACTTAGAATTCTATCCAAGATTTTTATCTATTCTATCTTGTGCAGTATTGCTTTAAGTGGGTTCATTAATTTTTGTCTGTTGTGACAAATTCTCTGCAGATTCCTGTTCTTTTTTGAGGTTGATCATTCATTCTCCTTGCCTGCTGACTCTTTTCCCTCTCTGCAGGAAAGTCTAGTTTCCTGTCTAAAGAATAAATTTTTTTGGTCATATCTCTGTAGTCCTGAAACACAAGTATTCCACATTGTGTTCTTGGGTTCCTTGGCAGCTCTGAGAGTGTTTCTTGCCAGTCCTCTTCTTCAAGAGACCAAGAGTATTTGAGCCTGGACTGTAATATGGAGAGTACATCTGTGGCCTCTAGATCAAATAAGGTCAATGAAAGAGTGTGGCTGTACCCCCTCCATGGACTTTTTCTGGGGCTCTTTGCACTATTTTACCATAACTTGACTTAAGGTGAATACAGTAGATGAGGCCAGTTCTGCCCATATATTTTTAGTTAATTTGCTTTCTGGTTGTTCACATTCAAATGTCTGGCCTGCCTTCAGAGATGATGGGCAGGTAATGCTGAACACAGGCACTGCACCTGGAGCAGCTACTTGGTGACAAGGAGGAATGAATTTCAGTTCCTTCTGGGGCTTCAAGGTTCCCCTCTGGCCTCACACTGAATCCTCTGAATGAATTCACCTCCCAGACTGAAGATGGGCACTGCTGGAAATCTCATTAACAGATTTGTCCCCAGTCTTCTCTTATGGAATACACAGATTTCAGCATTGTTTACAACAAGTGACAGGGTGTTAATAAAACTCCTTCTTTTTTCTTTTAATCTTACAGCAAACACCTGAAGGCAATCCCCTGTCCTTTGCTTGTCAGGATCTGTTAACAGACAGCTCTTGGCTGAGTTTTGTTCTGGCTGCAACGTAACCTTGTGGCACCACCACCACAGTACTGCAGGTCTTGGGTATTCCCAAGTAGTTTATCCCAATATATAAATGATTATTTTAGTTGAGTAAAATTGCCTGTCTTCAAACACTGGGACTGTGATCAGTAGGTTAAGGAACATAATCTTACCACTTGTTTAAGTACATTAATTCTATATAAAATACTGTAATACAGAATATATTATTTCATAATACTAACTTGTAACAATGAGGGTAGTTCTTCAGTCAAGAGTTTTCCCTCTGTTACTGCCTTATAAATAACTCAACAGTCTAAAAAGATCCTACTTTTAGGGAACATATGAATTTCAGTGGACAAAGTGTAAGGATTTGCTTTGTTCAGATTTCAGCTCTATCTGTGCCTTGGGATGGGCCCTCCAGTTCTTTGTGTCCTCTCTTCCATCGTATTTCATTGTCTTTGCCAACTGGGGTGAAATTACTCTCGTGGCAGTGAACTTCTTATAAAAAAGGCCTTAGTGTAAGTACTTCCTCATGATCATAGAAATCTCTAACACAACAAAGTGATGGTACTGTTTATTTACAGGTATTAATTAGTGTAGCTTATTTCAGAGGGAAATCCCCCAGGCTTGGGAAAGATGTGCTTAATATCTTTCTACTCTTATTATATATAAACAATTTTGGATTGTATAAACCTCAACCCTTTTCTCCTGATTGTATTAAACACAAATATATCTGATGTTACACCAAGTAAGTTCTGTCTTTTACCCAGATCACAATGACCTTTCATGGATGTAGAAGTGGCTGGAAGAGGTTTACTATTATTGAGGAAAGGAGGAAAAATATATTCCTAACACATCTGTAATACTGACTATCCAAGAGGCAAGCTGATTCACTCACCAGAGCACTGTTCTGCTACAACTCACATTAACTCCCTTTCAGCTCAGTTACCTGAGACAACCTGCAGATACAAAGTGGGAATAAAAGTTTAAATTTTATTAAATCTGAGTTACAGCATATGAATTCCACAGGAAAGCTACATCCTCCTACTGAAATATCAAAAGTCCTTTGCAAAACAGTCAGTATTTTCAGTGCTGAAGGAATCTGAGGCTGACGGGATTCCTGGCACTGGAATATCAAGGCTAGGCATGTGTGTTCCATATATGCAAATTCCTCGTAAGGAACCAATAACTGCCTGCCAGAGAAATGATATTATTACACCAAACAACCAGCGGCTGTTCTCATTCACACAGAGGAGAAGCCAAGACAGCCACGGAATACTTGAAACCGTGTCTTGAAAAGAAGTGCAGACTCAGAGCAATCCTGAGCCCTGACCACCCTCTGCACCGCGAGCGAGGAGAGGGAGATGGCCAGGCCCAGGAATGCTCCTTCAGGAAGTGCTTGTGGTTAAAAACAGAAGCAACCACATGAATCAGAGGTTTCAGGAGACAGCTAGACGACACTGATTGAAAAAAAATATTAACACACAGAAAAAAAGAAACCCAAGAAGGATTAAAAGGCCCCAAAAAATCTGTGTGAACTTGAATTGGTTTCAGGAGAACAGAAGAGTAAAATCCAAATAACTAAAAATTTAGACATCCTGTAATAATAAAACTTTTTTACTGTTAAAAAAATCAAAAATCAAAAGCTCGATTTGGTCTTCCTTTGTCATCTGGAAGCTTTCTGTTAAACAAATGAATGAAACACACACAACACAAAAATACTTTTTGTTTTCTTCTATACATCCAGTAGAATTTTCTTCTTCTTCATTTTCTTCTACATATCTCTTAATGACAAGCCCCAGAATATTAGTTTCCTCTTCTCCCAACTCCTTGGAGACCCCTGCAGCTATCAGTGATCATCTGTAATGTTCCTCTCAGATTCTGCTCAGACAAGTAGAATTTAATAAAAATATGAAAACTAGTAATGTTTCAACATCAAACACAAGAGGGAACACAGTTTTAATTATCCTAAAAATGTTTGCATTGAGTAGGCAGGAAAAGATTTCCTGAATATAAACCATGTTATGGTACTGGGAAAATAATCCTGAGCTCAATCCTGTTTTCTCAGCCCTTACCTTCAATATTGAACAGACTCTTTAACGAGAAAACTTTCTTTTAAGCAGTAATGATGGAAAGAAAACAAAACATGATTCTAATTTGTCCTTGCCAGCAGTGTAGTACACACAATCCACAACACTTTTCCTCTGGAATTAGATCAAAGCTCTGAAGACACACTGTTAATTTGTGGGAACACAGCACATCTGCAAATGATTAAAGAGATGCTGCCACTTACCATGTGAAATGAGGAATTTGCTGCTCAGACTTGAAAGAACTCCTTCCTTCCAATCCATAAGTCTAAAATGTGCCTTAAAAAGAATTTAAATGGCTCTGGAGGAGGGATCATGGTGCCAAAAGATAGAGGACTTGAGCTTTGAAGCTGTTGGCATCTGCATCACGTTGGTCATCACATCTACTTTGCTCTGCTAATGAGCGAGGAAATGAGAATTGCCTGTGGTTAGGTGGGACTGACCTCTACCTGGCTGGGTTTCAATCTGTGTTTTTCAGTCTTTTTCTTTAGATATGATGTTAGATATGATAAATATGAGGTCAATCTATCAAAGAAATGGTTTTTTTTTTTTTTGGAAAGTGTGATTTTGATGTCCCAGAAATTTTCCTCTACTGTGGCCTTTGCCAGTCTGCGTCCATGCAGGCACAGATTGTTTGTTTTACAAGCCCCTCATCTGCAGAGGAGCTGCAGCAGTCACCATCCAGAATGGAGCAAAAACGGGACACTCAATAATTTTGGGAGATAGAAGTCCCCAGAGGACTTTTGGCCATATACCATACTCTTAGAACCTTGTTATTCACTGTGCCTGATAGTCCTGGTGTGTTTTAAACATCATATACAAGAGAGGTGCCCCAAACAAAGAGAGGAAAACAATCAATTTCTTCTTTCATTAAATCTCATACTTTCCTTGATTAAAGAACAGGAAATAAAGTGTGTCAGAAGAGGGAGGAATTGATTTATACAGGTTTACACAACTGATGATGTGCTTTGTTAACTTCAGAAAAGTGAATAAAACTTCTTGACTTCTGATTTCATGCATAAAATCAGTGCTTTCATTTTGTCTGGCACAGGCTTTCAATGTTACTTCAAGTCTATTTAATTGATTAACAATTCTTCTGTCATCAACAGAAGTGTCCCTTTCCACACTGATTATAATGATGGGTATTTTGTAAATTTTATGGGATTCAAGTCTTTCAAAAAATTTTGATGGACAGTTTTTGTCAAAACTGAGTGGCAACATCAATCAGATTTCCAGATTCATGGGAATTCAGATTTACATCCCAGGCAGCCCATTTACTTTTATTTTCAGGACTTAAGGTAGTGATCTTATACTAAGAGCCTTAATTCTAGCTAAAGTGTCAAAACAATGCTAATATCTATCAAGATAATTTTCATTTTTGCTTGCAAAATGAGGCATGTGCTTATTTGCATTTAAATCTTTCTCTCTATTACAGTGATTCGAGCAAAAATATCCAGCGAAAAGGTGGTTCCTGCCAGCGATGATCCCCTTGATACTCACAAAATGATCCGGTATGAAATCAAACAAATAAAGGTACATGGAATCACTCTGCTCTTTTGAAATCCAATGGTGATAACCTCTGTATAGGACTAGTTTAGCCTAAAATGCTGGAAGCTGAAAAAGACTCCAGCTGCCTCCACAGTTAGACCTGGGTGAACTACACAGAATAAATCAAAGGAGGGTTCAAAAAAAATGCAAAAGAAAAAAAGCAAAGACAGCTGTTCTGACATTCAAGAGCTGTTTGTCAAATAATGATATTTTGATGAAAATTTTATTATTCACAATTGCTTTAAGAAGACTTGGAAAGAGTCTGAAAGAGCAAGGCCCTTTGTCCACAGTGAATAGGGACATTTGCAGGAACAGGAGTTCTTCCCTCATATTCACATAAACCAAACTCCATTTTTAGGAATGTTGCTAGGGAAGCAAACACCAAGTGGGAGTACTCAAAGACAAAGTAATTCAGAATCTCACAGGATTTTTTCATTATTTGTTCAGCTCCAATAAGGGGATATATTCATTAATGCACTTTAAGAAGACATATCTTGATCCCCTTCAAGTCACTGCTGAACTCTCACTGATGTTAAAATAATCATGATCTACCTGTTTCTGCAATACACAAAACCCAGGCTCTCTAAATTTACCTGTGTGAGTGTGCATTAGTGGGGTGGTTTGGTTGGTTGGGTGGTTTGTTTTCCAGGTGGTTTCACCTCTCATTTTTCACTGAATATTATTTTATATTATTTGCACTTTTCCATTTATTTAGAACACTTAAGAAAATCCTTATGAATGGCTACGTGCTTTTGAAAGAAAATTCAATCATTCAAGCTATATCAGTAGATCCCCTCAGGGAGGTTTAACTCAGAACAATCTACAGTAAACAAGGATGGTTATCACACACAACTTCTGTTAAGGTTTTATAGCAATTTCAACAAGCTAGTATATACATTGCTAAAGCAAACTCCAAAGCTCTTCACCATCTGCCACTTTCTGTCTTCTTAAATATTAAGGATATATTCAAATGTTTCTTTACAGAAATAAATGTATAAATACCAGGGGAATTCTCCTTCCCCATTAGCACTTTAATGTTTTATTGCTACTCGGCAGCACTTCAGTAACTTTATAGAAATGCAAATCATCTTACACTTCAGCAAAACAAGAACAACCAGAAGTCTAGCCTGACTGATTATTTTCAGTCTATAATCTTGTTCTTCAGTAACAGCACACTGAAATCTCTGAAATATATTTGGATATCGAAGCTGCTTTGGAGTTTCTCCCTATTTTTCAATACTCAGCTTCAGTTAGAGATGTTTATTTAATTCCAGTCAGCTTCAGAAGGCAAGTCAGCTATGACTGGACAAACCAGAGAGATCTGTTTTCTAATAAAAGATGCTCTACATTATTACATGAAACATTAGACTAACAACAAATGGGGCAGAATTGTCCCACCCTTTGAATTCTTTGCTCTGGCCAGAGGAGTTCAGAGGAGGCAGGAGCCAAGCCTGGCACTCAGCTGCCCTGGGACCCATCCCTGCTCCAGGCACTGAGCAGCCTAAACGGAAGGATTTTGGCTTGGAATCTCCACCACACAGGAGCTCTGTGACTGCCCATCCTCTGTGGAACTGAAATGAGCCCCTACAGGCAACTGTGCCTGATAAATCCTGCAAAGTGACAGAGAGGGAGGCAACCTGTTACATTCTAAGCATGTCATTCACAGTTGGTCAGTGGGTGAAAATCGAACAGGACTGAGCACAGTGAAAAATGACTGAGAAATACATTTAAATGAACAGAAGTTTAACAGAAATTTGTTTACACTGTAAAGCCCTCACCATGTCACAAAAGTAAAAAGAGTGAGGAATTTTAAATAGCTCGTGCATGTAAACATTTGATAAATGTAAAATAATCAATTAAAATAATACAGTGATGTATCAAGCCAGGTAGATTTGGCCATCTCCACAGAGTGGGACAGCTCACACCTGATCAGTAACTGCACAGGAATAGCTTGTCAGAGACCCTCAAATGGAGCCTCAGACCCACAGGTGGATCTCAGTTCCTGGGTAATGAGAACTTGTTGGCTAGAGCAATTCCCTTGGTCACACCATTTCTCACCTCAGCTGGTAAGATTTCAAAGAATCTAAATCAGCAGTGCATGTCAGAGGGTGGAACATTCTCTGTTCACTGTTACAGTCTTCTCTTGTGCTACAGAGCCATTTCTGATGACCTGCAGGACAAACTGCAAGGCCCTTGGAATGGCCAGTGGCACTGCCCACGGGGTTGTGGCTAATCCTGTGCAGTAACATCTGCAGGATGGGGGATAGGCTAAGAATTTGATTTATACAGCACAGAAAGGAAGAACAGATTCTCTAATTATCTCTTTTGAGCTAAAAGGTGCATTGAACTAAAATACAATTATCAACTCCATGTGAGTTTTGGTGAGTACTTTTTAGGCTACTCACATATTCACACTTCCCTCATCAATTCTTCTCCCCTCTGGGAAAAGGTACACAGAACCTATGAAGGTTACATTTAACTGCAACTGAAAATTCAGCCAAATGCTGCTGTTTCTCTGCTCTGGGCTCTCTGGGCCTTTTGACATGTAACAGTCATGTGGCTTGCTTATGGTAACCCTGCCACAGAAATGATATTCCTCTTGTTTTAAATCCAGTGCATTAGGCTTCACATGAAAACATTGTTATTTTAGTCAGAAATATGAAATATTTTGATATTATTTTCAGAAATAATAACAATGGGGTTTATTAATTTTATAGAGAGGGGTTGGCATATAGAGAAGCCATAATTTTTTTTCAATTACTGTTCTTATTTACAGCATTATACTAAAGAGAGGACATAATATGTGATTTATATGCAATTGAGTATTTGTCTATATAATATTACCGTGACTGACTGGGTCATCACACTTGCTCTGAGGAGCCAGCTACACATTAAAACAGTGCCATGAGTACATACATGAAATCAACACTTTTTACCAAATTAAACAAGTATAAACAAAATTGCTAAGTATTTTCCACGAGATGCATGGATGGAAACCCTCTGACAGAACCAGACTGCTTTTCCAAGGTGGGGGGAGTGTCACTCCCAGTGGGAATATGAGGAGATATTCAAGCTAAACGTAAAGGTATCTACACTTTACAGTGACACCTGCAGTTTTAAAACCAGATAATAATCACTATATAAAGCTAAGAAAATAAGCCATGATACAGTTGAAAAGCCTTCAAGAAGAAAGAAGATAGAAGAATGTAATTATTATAACAGTACATGCTTGAGACACTGGAAGGAATACAGAGGGTTTTTGAAAAAAGAGTATTTTAAAGTTTTAAAGCCTGGCTGTGTGCTGGTCTTGGTTACCCCCTCAGGAGGACAGGGACAGTGTAAAGACAGATGTTGGTACCAGGCTCACATCTCTCTGTTCTCCCAGTTCCTCACCCTATTTTCCTACCCCAGTGAAGTCCTGTCAGGAGCCCAAATGGGCAGAATGGAAATCAAACCACAGAGACACATCCACACTTTCAGGAGATGAGAGAGTATGATTGAGAAGATCAAATACGATTTACTGAGTTAAGCAGAAGACTATAATCTTAATAAATGCTTTAACAAATATATAGGTCAAAACCTAAGGTAAGTTAGACTGTAATTTCAAAAAAACAACCCCAACCAAGCAACCAAAAATCCTGCAACAAAACAAACATCAACCTCATTTAAATATTAGCTAGATCTGTATTATATTTTGCTATGTTTGCTGGGGGCGGAGTTAATAAATCGATTTGTGTTGCCTGCATAATGCCTCTTAAGTTACTTGAGATCAAGGGATGAACTTCTGTACTGGGCTGCCACACCAGACTACTTTTACCCTAATAAAATTAGGCACATTTTCCTCATAATTTTAGAGGGGTTTTGTGATTTTCTCTGCTGCTCTCTACAAGATACCAGTTTGTTTTGTTTTGCTTTGGTTTGGTCTGTTTGCTTTTTTCTACTAAGTGTTTCAAATCACATTTAATATTTTTGGATCAGAAGTGACAACAACTTTGGCTTTTTCTCTTCCATAAATAAGGCTTCAGAAAAACCAACATATGACAGTGTGTTTTCTAGTGCCCTGTGCTATTTAAATCTCCTGGGAGAACTTGAGTAACACAAACACATTTTGCAGTGACACCAGCTGCAACTGGGAGAGCTGCCCTGGGGAGCTGTGAGTCCTGCCATTGTCCACAGCTGTCAACACGTGGCATGAGGTCACCCCAGACCGCTGGGCTTGGTGATGTCACTGGAGGTGATGACAGGCCGAGCCTTCTGAGGCTGATCCTTCTCACGTTTGGACACAGCAAAATTTGTTTGCATCTTTCGATGGCTCATTTAAGGTTTCTTTCTGCATCTGAAAACGCTGATTAAGGAGCAGCCAGTCTGGAAAGCGCTTTGATCCCGAATCTATCCATTTTGGGGCTGTATATTATAAGAGATGGATCCCGTTTTCCAACAGTTATCTGAGAAGGTCCCATGGACCAGAATTCTGGATATGGAAAACCAGCTTGCTTTAGTGATCAAATATAAGAACAACACTAAGTTCCTCAGGGTGTTTAATGTCCCAGGAGATACCCACCATTACAATGAGGAAGAGAAAATTTCCCATATTAATATACTGAAAAACATTTGCCTTTTACAGTGCTGCAGCACCAAGGTTGAGATGATTGATGTCTCTGCATTGCTCCTTGAATGGAAGATGCCAGTACAATGTAAATTGAAGGGAAAGCTTTAACGATCCATTAAAAACACTGAAAAAGCACATTTTAAAACCTATAATTTAAAAAATGAAGAACTACCTAATTTCCTTCTAAAACTCTTGCAAATGTTTCATTCAGTGAATTGAAAGGGTCTAATTGTTGGTGTTTTCTCATAGAATTTTGGACTTTGGAGCCTTCTTTAAAGAGACTCACCATGTATTTCTTTCAGCTGTTTATTGCAACTGGTTTTTCACGTTTTTTTCCATGACTGACTCTCTGTTTCTAATAATTTTCAGATGTTTAAAGGATTTGAAAAGCTCAAGGATGTCCAGTATGTCTATACCCCTTTTGATTCGTCACTCTGTGGAGTGAAATTAGAAGCCAACAACAAAAAACAGTATCTTCTGACAGGTACAGTGTTAAAACCAGGAGTAACTACTTAGATTGAATTTGCTAAAATATACCAGCCCCTGTTAAAAAGGAATGTATGTACGTACTAAACACAAATACAGTGAGATGTACAAATTGTGTTAAGCTGTACTTATAGTGTGATCTTCCATGTTTTCCATCCTTCCTCCAACAATCTTAAAGTAGTTCCAAAGGAAGTGAAGGTCAGTAATAATTAGTAAATAGAAAGAATTATACCATTACTATTTGCTTAAAACCAACAGTACTGATTTTCCCAGGAATATGCAGATGCATAATGAGACAACACATGCCTGTTAGTGTGCAGGCCTGGGGTACTGAGGAACTACAGATTTTTCTTTAGAGTCCTAAAATCTTGTTTAACATACTGCATTTGCATCCGTCCCTTGCTGGCAGATTATCGGTATCTTTTGAAAAGTATCCTTCTTAAATCTTTTACATCTATACAGCATGCAGAAGAATATTTTCTCTGCTATAATTAAATTTTTAAAGCGTGTTAAGCAATTAGTAAAAACCTTGAGGTATTCTTACACTTCTGTTGGAGTATTTAGAAAACACTTTTAACTGTTTGCCTTATTTTTTGTGCTTTCCATGCTGCAGGCCAAATTTTAAGTGATGGCAAAGTCCTCATCCATTTGTGCAACTACATTGAACCATGGGATGATTTATCCTTGTCTCAAAAGAAGAGTCTGAATCAGAGATATCAAATGGGCTGTGGCTGCAAGGTGAGTACAGAACAGAACAGTGGCTGTGCTGGAGCCACCTGGCAGGCACCAGCAGTCTCCAGCAGTGGGAACTGTTCTCTTAGAAACAGTATTTTAAGGAAACCTGCCAGGTGCTGAAGCAATGCACTGTTTCCCACAGATAACCACGTGCTACATGGTGCCCTGCTCCATCACTGCCCCCAACGAGTGCCTGTGGACAGACTGGCTGATCGAGAGGAAGCTCTACGGGCACCAAGCCAAGCACTACGCCTGCATCAAGAGGAGCGACGGCACCTGCAGCTGGTACCGAGGTGGGCCCCCCCCTGAGAAGGAGTTCATTGACATAAGTGAACCTTAAAAGCAGCACTTCCTAAAAAGCCTTGGGGTCTCATTCCATCCACCACTGCCCGCTCACAGCTTTGAACTGCCATCATCTCATGTATCTGTCGCTTAGAAACACAAATTGTCCTGCCCAGTAAAGTCCGAGTTGTGGGACTGGCACTGGTGCAGGACAAGGACAAACCTCCTGGAGGTACCCACTCTGTGCTGTTATGCTTTGCACAGAGGCTTGAGCTGAGAAAGCTCCTCTGTGTCCTCCAAGGCATAACAATATCCCTTTTGCCAATATGAATGTACAAGAACAAAAGAGTTGCCAGAATTTGTCCCCTGTTTGATAACCTACAGATTAAGAGCACCCCGCGTTGTATTCCAGATCTTTCCAGTGAACTACAGAATGTTTTATAGAACTATTTTTTCTGCATGAAAGTCTTTGACACAAAAGAATTATTGTACAGTGTATATGTAAAATATTATAACAATGCGCTATTAAAAAAAAAATCACAAATATTTCCTTACCTGTTGAAACAAGTTGAACACTTCTGGGATTAAAACAATCTGTGCTCCATATTTTGTATATTGCTTATGTCACAGCTTTCTTTATCTAGAGTTGTAACATTCATTGATAACTAAGCTAAGAGACAGCCTTGATAAACAAAATCCTCTTCCCAACTCAGCACTCCTATGGACTAACCACACCTTGCTGAAAGACAAGCCAGATGTTCTAATGCTTCAGCATTTCATGGAACCAACACAAATGATGAGAGGCTGAAACTGCTCATATTTACAGGAAACTTGTCCACCCTCAGGGCAGCTGCAGCACTTGGTAATTCCTCTCTCAATATGTGACCAGGTCATTGCATTCTGGCACTATTAAAAGCCTTGGCTTTAGAAACTCATGTGAAAATATATGCGGTAGATACTGCACTTACACAGCAAGTGATTTCTGAAAGCTCTCAAATATTTGACCATATTTCATTATTTTTCATTCATGAACACCCACCATAGTCTGTCACAGTGAATTTGGCTCTCATGAACTTGTACTAGAGAAGTGTTAGGACACATTTTGCCTTTTACTTTTTTAGTGTCTTAACTTTTCTAAATTGATTCCTGTAGCTAGTAGCTAAGCTCACACATATCTAAGTTTACAAAAGGAATTAAATTCACAGTGGTGAAACTTCAGAAACTATTTCAGTAAATGCCAAAGTTCAGACAGTTTTCCAACTCCTCGTGTCCCAGAAGCTGGGGGAGAACCCTCCTGCAGGATGGGAATCTCTAACAGCCACCCTCTCTGATGTATTTTGCTCTCTCCAATTTTCTATACTGGATTTCTTTGACTTCATTCCAATTTTGCCTAGAATTACTCTTGTGTGTTCCCTATATGAGACTTTAGAACACAGGCAGAGCTTTAGACAGTTCTGTCTCATTTGGTTGGATCAGGTCTATTTAAAGGGTTAACAAACGTCCTTTACTGGCTCCTGTGAACCCCAGGGTGACATTCCCAGCCTGGGGCCTCAGTCAGAGCCACCACATTATTGCTCAAGGGTTTTCCAAATAGTTCCTGCAGTTTGTTTGCACAGACATCTCTGATGCCATTCAATTCACCCAGGTAGTAGTTTGGCCATGAAATTCAGCATGTCCCATGCAACTCAGAACACACTAAGATATGATGCATTAGATAAAAAATCCCCTGCACAAATTATCTTTGTGACATATTTTCAGCTTTTTAAAGTGTATTTTGACAATTGCACAAATGTATATTTAAAGGACAGGTTTCAAAACACTCTTCTGAGAATAAAATGCAAATGGTGCAAGGCCAACAGGAGGGCATGCCATTGTTTCTTTGAGAAAAATATGTCCTATAACATATAAAAGTCAATATTTCACTTTTCAAGCACTGTAAATCAGCTTTGTTATTTTAATTTGCAATTCTAAATTAAAACACCATGTATTTGTAAAGACAAAACTAAAATCACCAAACACTACTCATCTGGACCATAGATTTACTATGGCTACTTACATAAATGAAATAAAAAGAATAAAATGGCTACATTTCTTCCAAAAAGAGTTGATTTTGCAGTGAAAATACTGGCAGTGCTGTTGACTAACAGTCCCGTGCATCTATATTACTAATTTAAAGAAAGACTTAAAGCCAGGCCTTATTTCCTGATGTCAAATCAAAACAATTCCTGGAGAAGCCCATGAGAGCTCAATAACCAACAATGTCTGACCCAAGCACAGGGCTGAGTATTATTTAATACATGTCCAGTGTAGCATTTGTTTCCAAATCCATTTGGATGTGATGGTGTCTTTTGAACAGCACTCTGCAGCAAACAGAGATTTTCTGCTTTTTAACTCAACATAGTTCTGTTTCTCTTTTAGTTTTAGAGTAACTAAACCTTAAATTCAACTCACCTGACGCAGATTGTCGTCTTTGTGTGCCTTGTACAAGGAAATGTTTTCTTTTATATTTATGAACAGACTGTAATACAAATTGTGTGCCATAATTAGTTTCAAACACATTTTATATTTGTCCTGCCATAAAATATCCCACATGAGGTGTTTCACAAGTAATGGCTGTTGACTTTGATTTCTGGCTGAGCATAAATCTGAACAAACTTTCCACAATGGGTGGTACAAAGATTATTTTTCTCCCTCATATCAGTAAATATGGCAAGCAAAGCTTTACAAAAACCCCTCTCAGAATGAGTTTTTATTTTCCCTGAGATTCAGCACTGAGAAAGATTATGAAAAGGCTTGACTACAATGTGGCATCCTCAATATGTTATTTTCCTATCAAGGTTTTTACCATAGTGACATTGATATATTATCTACAGCAGATTATTTTTACAACACTTCATTTTTACTTCTTGTAAATGTATGTGTTTATATGAAAGGTTAGAGCAGGAATATAGCCTGGCACAACACTTCATTTTAATTTGAAAATGACTCACACAACTTATGATAAGATTAGAAAAAGAGAAGGGAGATTGTACAGGTCAACAGGGAGGAAACACCACCTTGAATATTGCTGGCTTTTTCTCAATGTTCCAGTTAAGTTTTAATTAAATCGTTCAACAATTATGTTGAAAAAGCCGTGTTGTCTTTTTTTCCACGACAGAGAACATAAGAGGTGGGAATGTAGTGAAATAAAGGGAACTAATTGCTGAGGGAAAGGCTGTAGATATGACTCAACTACCAATGAGTTCAAAAGCCTTACTGCATTTTGTATAATCAGTCTGGGATGAATGTTTCTGTTTCAAAAAGTGTTTCATTAAAGCAGCTCCATTTTTACACAAAAGAATGGCATCTTTGTTTATTTACCTTTTATTGCCGGCTCAAGACTCGGCACAAACGAGCAGCAGAGCACGAAAGCAGCAGAGGAAACCCCAACACAGCAGCACCTCTGGCACGCTCAGCTGAGCCCTCAACTCCCAGAGACTTGGGAATTTCTCCTGCTCCCCCATTCCCCTGGGCTGCTTTGCACTGGAGGGGAGGGAGAGCTCCAGGTTTCTACTTAGGGAGTAAGAAAGGGAGGAGCAAACAGAAGAGGAACTACCGAAAAAATATTTTAAACTGTAGTATCCAAATTCTGTATAAGCAAATGAGTCCAGCTTTTAAAAAATGAAACAAAAAATAAATAGCATGATGTGTTTTCAGTTCAGCAACAGAAGACTGGTATCCACACCATCTTAGAACTCTGCATTCTAGAAATTTGAATGCAGTGTTATCTTGTACCATGTTGCCTGATTATTTCCCAAGCCACAGAGTTCCAAATCCTTTCTTCAGAAGGAATAAACCCCAAGAAATGAGCCCCATCCCAGTCACTGCAGCACTTGTAAGCCACATATGGCAAGGCAATACCCAAACATGTTAATTTTCTCTAGATTAACATTCATTACATAAAATATGTAAAGAAAAGTACTCAGCTGTGGAGAATAACATTCCAAAGTTCAAACAAAAGGCAAATAAATTAGCAGCTTAGACTTTAATGAGCATGTAGGGGAACAAAGAGGGGAGAAACCACTGACTCTGTTGTTATACTCCTCAGCAAAATATGCCATATAAACTTATAAATCTAACACATTCATTCTTGCCCCAAAATTATAGGATATTCTCTTTGTTTCTATGTACTGCAATTTAGCAATGCATTCAAAACACCTGCTTTTTCAATAAAATCAGAGACTATCTCAAGTTGGAAGGAACCCATAAGGGTCATGGAGTCCCCCAGGAATGCCTACACTAAACCACACACCCAAGAGTATCACCCAGATGCTCCCTGAACTCTGACAGGCTTGGTGAGATGCCATGGCCAGTTTCCTGGGGAGCCCGTAGATGATAAAAAAATGAAGAAAGAACAATAAACTGCAGGCAGGAAATGACAAACCAGATAAGAATATCTTAGATATTCTTAGGAAAATAGATCTAAAAACTTATTACTATTTTAAAAAGCATCTTGCAAAATGAGATGTGGTTCTGCCTCTCTACCGCTTATGAAGGAATGCCCAAGGCAAAACCCACTTCCTGTGCATTGTATATTTTCCTGACAGATCCATCAACAAAACCCCCTTTCCCTCTGGGAAGATCTGACCGTCTGGGACAACATTTAGACCTGCTGCTCCAAATCAGTGCCTTTGGCTCTACGAAACCTCTGTGTACCAACCACCTCAGTGTGGTGAGATCTCTGCTCAGAACTGTCACATATGACAAGAGAAGTGGAAACATCTGTGGATTCATAATCCAAAGGAACCGGAGAGAATTGGAAAAGCAGGATGAAGAGCCATCCTGCCACTCTTGCAAAAAATACAGCAGAACTGCTCCATGCTGTGTTTGTTACCAAAGGATGAGGTAGACGTGGGAGAAGGAAGAGTTCAGAAGGGATCTCAGTCACCTGCTGTCCCCGGGGCTTACCTGAGGTCCCACCTGTGGTGACAAAGTGCCAGCCAGAGTCTCAGGACAGACACACAGCAGTGACAGCTTAGGGACCCTGCACAAACAGCCAACTCACACATTTATCCTGACCTTGCAGCAGTACTTGAATCCCAGCTGTGGGACATACACTGAATGGAGTAGATTCTACAATAATTGATGCTTCTCTGCCAGGCTATTCAATCAGCAAAGAGCCTTCCTCTAGTCTCTCAGTGTTTCCTCTCAAGAAAGAATTCAGGAAAGAATTTTTGATTAGAAACTCTAATCAAAATAAGAAAAAAATGACAGCAGAGTAACACAGGTCATGAGTATAGGTCATGTGTGTTATTTTTAGGATGCATTCATGTCTGTAAGGGAATGGGAATCAATGCTAGCTCAGGTACGTGATGATCACAAGTCACAACCGCCCTGATTTTAGGTGAATTCAGAGCCCTTCACTAATCAGCACACAGCCTTGTGCATCATCTCAAAAGACAATAAACACTTTGAACACTTATAAAGGACTGGGGTGAAAACAAACCATAAAAATAACTCTTGCACTTTAACGGCTGTTCAGTGTCTTTAGCAGCATTTGATCTCTTGAAGATCTGAAGCTGGTTAGCTGAAAAATTACCACCTCCCCATCTGAGAATCCTCCAGCTCACCATGACAATGCTTTCAAGTGGTCACCCAGTCTCATCCCCTGAAAGCTTTCCAAATGGCTTTTAAAACAGGCAGTAAATGGGAAAAAGGAATGGTGTGTCACAGCTGCTGTTTCACACAGCCCATCAGCAGATTTAGGATTGCTATTTGCACATACCATTTCCTTGTGATTTGGATAGAACGTCTGCTCGATTAGGGGGAACTTCTCGGGACCCAAAGTTTTGTAGACAGACACCAGCTGGGCAAACTGTAAAATAAAGCAAAACAAAACAGGAAGCTTAGGAGAGAAACCACATTATACCCAAATGATCTCATACTGTCATTTTGCTTCTTGTCTTTGGTGTTTCACAAACTCAGCAAGTCCACACCCCCAGTACACGTGGCCTCTCTCCTCCTCTTTCCCACACATACCTTTTTAATCCATCTAAGCTGGGATCTCATATAGAGATCAGCACAGCACAACATCTCTAAGAGTTAAGCCCTTACAGGTACAGAAAATGAAATATATTGGAACACTGGACTTCAGATATCTCATTGTTTATATATTTTAAACTGATTTTGTGATAATAAAATTATAACTTCACCTTTTCTACTATCTTTAATCTAAAGATCAGGTTTATCATTAATTTAGTGTCTGGCACTTCCCTGACATTGAAATATGATTTTGCAGAGTTGGCAAGGAGATAAAAGCAGTAATTATGTCACAGTAACAGGTCAGATGAGGAACAAAGAGGGGAATCTTAATTTCCTAGGCTACAGCCTTGTAGCACATGGCCACCCTTCCACCATCAACAAAGATGTGGATAATTTAAATGGCTCCATGTTATGCCACTTCTAGTAATGTCTATTATACAATATTCCAACAGAATATTCTATTCGTGTTCCTGGACCCTTCTGGTGGCACATCCAGCCTACCTGTGCTCTGGACTGCAGTAACTTAACACAGAAAGCAAAGCAACATTTACACACGAAAAGACAAAGAATTCTTTATTAAATAGAAATGTATTTGGGGGCTGTTCTTTCTGTTTAGTGAGCAGATAACTCTTCTCTTGTAGCAGTTCAGAAACTAAATCACTCCTGAGCCCGGGGCTGAGCAGGGAGGTTTCCAGGGAGCAGGAGGGCTTTGGCAGCCACAAGCTCAGTGTTGTTCCAGGACTCCAAAGCTTTGGCTCGGACATGCCTGTGATGTGTTCAATTGTCATTTTGCCAGCATGAGACATAAACAACTCAGCACAACACTCTGAATAGTGGGATTTGCTGGTTGCAAACAGCACAAAAACCAGAGAACAATAGAACCCTGTCCGTAATGCAGATAAAATACCTACTCTGAGGAAAGACTGAGGGGGCAGGGAGAGCAAAAACTCTTTAAAGGCAAAAGAAATGATGAAAGCTTCACATGCATTTCCAGCTGGCACAGAGGATTTGTTTAATTTAGTGGTGTTTACTTAGGTTTGGTAAAATACATCTTTAAATTTGGAATTCCAGTGGAAAATACTGTAATGATGAGCAGTCTTCACCAAAAGCCTACAAAATTGTACCTGAAAAGTGTGCTGTGCAAATCAGACCTTAAGGAAAGGAAATATTATCACAGCTACCAAAATAAGGTGGTTTGAGAATAGGATTCCTGACAACTTACTAGTTATTGCTGTTCTTATGCAGAATCCAAATTCAAAATGTCACAAGTAAATAGTTCCAATTAAATATCCAATTTTTGCCAAGAAATCGTTAGGTTAAAATAAATCTATTTACCTAGCTTTAGGTAAAAAACTTTAAAAAAATCGTGTTACTGTATTTCCTGTGATTCTTTTCTTGGTCTCTTTTCCATTTTCAATGAAAGGGGGAAAGGACAGTGAGAAACTGACACTGTTTTTAGGGCTTGTGGTATTCAGGCAAGAGGTAAGAAAGCTGTAATTCAGATTAATACTAGCAAATGCTTGTTTACTTCAAATAGTATCAACCACAGACAACACCCATGCATCCCTCTAAAGTATCCTCTAGTCAAGTAATTAGGCTATGAAATAACAAGTAGGAAAAGAAGGTTTCAATTTGTGAGACAGAGGAAAGAAATATCTCTGATTTCCCACTGCCAGGGATGATTTATCCTTTGCCCCTGCTGGGATGCTGCTTCACTTCCACATCTACAATTCTCAGAATCTCGTCAAACATTTCTTCCCCAAAGGGCACCTTGATAAATTCAACCTCAATTCACACAGAATTTTTTGCATCCACAAATTCCTAGAAATATTTATTACTTTCCCTGATTCCTACGGGGCTATTTATAAAGGGGAATCTCCCTAAAGTTTAATGAGCTTCTATCAATTTTTAAGTCTGATCTGGACTATATCTTTTTATATTTTCCTGTTGAACAGCCAAAGCAAATAAATACCAGTCCTGGGCAAGAGCATCATCTTTTTAGATGATAAACTACTGAATTATCTAATCCAATGCTGACTGTTTTCAGACAGGGGATGTTCATGAAGTAGAAAATACTAGTAGATCCATTTTACATTTAAATGAAATATTTTATATGCCAAAAACCCTGGGAGATTTTAATAATTACTTTATAAAAATAAAGTCATAGAGCTTAGTATTCCAGCAGAAGTCTTCTCAAAATCTTTAGAAAAAAACAAGGAAGTGGAAAAAAGTTCTTAGTTTAGGTAGCTGAATTTACTTCTTATTTTCAAATTTTGCATCTTGTTTTCAGCTCAAGGAGGGGTGACCTTAGGTACATGT